AAACTCCTAAACTCCTAAACTCCTAAGCTCCTAAACCCTTAAGCCCGTAAACACTAAGCCTCAGCTCTGCTAATGAGGCCTCAAGCCTGCAGGCCTAGGTAAGTCGACGCTTGGGCCTTCGAAAGATCGCGAATCCTAGGGTTTAGGGTTTTTTGTTTAGGGTTTAGGGTTTAGGGTGTAGGGCTTAGGGTTTAAATTTTAGGGTTTAGGATTCAGGGCCAGCAACCCCAAAACCCTAACCCGACCCTGCACGGGGCTTCTCTGAATTAAGGTGCCACTAACCGTCCTTGTTGTCTCAGGGGCTTGCTCTTGCGGAGCCTTTCACGACACATCCTATGCCCTGAATCCCAAGCCCTACACCCTAAACCGGCTTTTAAACTCTAAACCCTAAACCCTCAACCGGTTTTTAAACCCTAAACCCTAAACCCTCAACCGGTTTTTAAACCCTAAACCCTAAACCGGCTTAAACCTACCCTCATTCTTCAAGCCGCCTCAGGCCCTCGAATCTAAGCCAGGGGCTTCAAAAGCTGGAAAGCCTGGCCTCTCTTGACTTTCAAGTTTAAGAATTGTTTTCAACTTGTTGGGGCTTAGGGCGCAAGTTTAGGGTTTAAGGCTCTGAGACTTCAACCAAGTTAAGGGTTAAGGACTTCGGACTTGGCCGTCGAATTGGTATATGGGTAGTTCTCTACATTAGGGCCCTTTTGTTGCCCAATATTGTACGGCACCCCTAAAAAAAACGGAAACTCAAAAGGGGCCCTGATTTAGAGAACTACCCATACGTATGTAGCAGATTCCAGCTTGTCGGATGAGTTCTTGCAACTGTTCAGAGACCTCTGCGCGCTAGCCAGCGAAGCACCAACGTAAACTCCGAGCCTAAAGGAACCCAAAGAAGAAAAACAACACAGGCGCTAGAACACCTGAGCCACATCCCGCCCCCACCCCAAAAGCCTGACTTCCGAAAGCTCCGAGCAGCTGCAGGGATGCTTGGAGGTAGGAAACCGCCTGTAGCAGCCGTGAGAGCATTGCAGTAGCAGTAGCAGTAGCAGCAGTAGCAGTAGCAGTGGCATTGGCAGTGGGCAGTGGCAGTAAGAGCAAGAGTAATAGTAGGAGTATAGGAGTAGGAGCAGGAGTAGGAGTAGGAGTAGGAGTAGGAGTAGGAGTAGGAGTAGGAGTAGAAATGGTGGTGGTAGTAGTAGTAGTAGTAGTAGCAGCAGCAGCAGCAGGCATCGTGGTCGTGGTCGTGGTCGTTGGCGTGGTAGTGGTAGTAGAAGCGGAGTGGTAGTGGTAGTGTTAGTGGTAGTGGTAGCGGCAGTGGTAGTGCTAGTCGTAGTGGTAGTCGTCGTCGTCGCTGTCGTCGTAGTAATGGTAGTAGTGGTCGTCGTTGTCGTCGACGTAATAGCAGTAGTAGTGGTAGTACTGGTAGTAGCGGTAGTAGTGGTAGTAGTGGTGGTGTAGTAGTAGTAGTAGTAGTAGTAGTAGCAGTAGTAGTAGTAGTAGTAGTAGTAGTGGTAGTAGTGATGGTCTGGTAGTAGTGGTAGTAGTAGCGACAACAGGAGTATCGTCGTGATAGCAGTAGTAGTAGTAGTAGTAGTAGTAGTAGTAGTATTCATTCAGCAGCGTCGCACGGTACACCAGTGCTTGACGAACGGGAGACAGATCTCAGATCCGGCCGCTTGAAGCAGCACTATGACAGTTGCATAGCTCTCAGGGCACTTCCGAGCTTCCTCGAAGCAAACATGATTGGCATGGAGTATGATTCCATGCAGCTCCTAGTCCATGGCATGTAGATCCAAAGCTGTACAGAAAGAACTTTCCTTTGCTGTATATACTGGTCTTCCCTCACTGCCCGGTGATTGCTCAGATGATGCCGTATTGCTGCATTCAGAAACTCCGCAGACAGGATCAGCCACTGCTTCCGGTGCTTCAGATGCCAGAGAAGTCAGAGTTCGCGATGCCCTGAAACCCTGCGTATTGTGTCGTGTCCTAGCATTTGTAGCTGTTGCGCCGGAGTCTGATGACAGCGTCCGAAGCAGCTCCTGCCGGTCATGACATCCCTGAGAGTGCTGAACCCCAAGGGTTGTCACACAGATGGCACAGCATGTCCCATAGCCAAAGTTTACCAAATGCATACAACTGGTTACTGAGCATGTGGTGCGGCTCATTTGACGCAGTGCCAGCTGAAAAGAAGTGCACTTCGGCGAATGCAAACCCCTGCGGCACATTGAGCAGCAGTGTCTGTGCTTGGTGCGCAGATATGCACGACCGCATCCTGGGGTGCAGCAGTATCGGATTTTAGATGAAGGCGAGGGTCCCGCGCCCTCCGACACTGGGTAAGTCGCCGCAGCTTGCCCGGACATGAGCCTAGGTACTAAGCAGCAGCTTTACATTGAATCTTCAGTTGCGGCTTTCTGTGCATGCTCTGACACACCTCGCGCTGAACTTTTCATCCCACGCACTGGCCCGTCGATGCTGTGCAATCTAAGGTCTACAGCCTAGAGAACCATAAAACACCTTGGGTGACAGGCTCTCAAGCTAAGACAGTGGGCAAAAGATTCGGCGTGGGTACCAGATGCCCGGCAGGTAGGTCGGGAAGATTAAACCCTAAATCCAAGAGGGATTCTTGCATGGGTTGTGCTAGACGTGGCCAGTTGCGTACTGTATACGCCACCAACGTGACCCTGTCAAAGTGGGCCCAGCTCTGCGTTGCATGCCTGACCTCGTGGCTACTAAACAGAAGATACTGATCTTGCAGGGAGTACATGGTTCCTTGCAATATTTGTCCAGAATGCTCCAAGTAGTGAATGCCTTCTGTATTCTGCAACCACAGGCCTCCTTCATCATTCAAGGACAAGGCCAGAATCAGGCTGCGCTGCGGCCCATTGTGCTGGTCCGTGTGTGGTGGCGCACGGTAATTAACATGCACCGCCAAGCTCGTCCAGCGATGACTGGGACACACATGTGAGATGAACCTGCAGAGGAGTCGACAGACATTCGGATGCAGAGGTGTAGCTTTGCATAATCCCACAAAAGCTTGACGAGCATAGACTCCCAGTGAAAAACTGCGTGCACGAGCATCTTGCGCCATGAAATTCTGCCTGGGATCCTCAAACTCAATGTGGCAAATAACCTGTCTGACTGCGGACCACAATGAGCCCTGACCCTCTTCCAGCAGATTTCTCGCGCAGATCTCCGCTGCGGGAGGCCTTCGATTTTCCCTCCAGATCGGGGGTGGCAGCGCTGATAGAGGCCAAGTACCAAGACTATAGCTGAGCTGCTCAGCATACAGCATAAAGCTTTGCAGATTCTCGGGCCACAGTCGCTGCCTGGCCTCTTGCAGTAAATCATTTCTGGAGGTCATGCTAAGCGAGGGTGGTAGCGCCTCCGTTGTTTGCTGCCCATACATGTAGCACAGACTGCGAAACAGCAGGAACTCCTCTAAGGAGTCACTGTATACATCTCTAGGCAGAGGGCGAGCTTCCACCATGCTTGAGCACCGCTGCACAAGAGCCGGCATCAGGCACTCTGAGCTTTGCAGACACTTGTGTCGCTGATGGCACACTGAGAGCCTGGCTCACTGCGAACTATCGTTTCAAGTATCCCTGCTACAGAGCCATTCGAGCTATAGACGGGACAGTCAAGGAATGCAAAAGGGGGAAGGAAAGAACGAAAAATTTGGTGGATCAGGTATCCATGGAATCAGCTTCATTAACAACGCGCATTGCAGCAGCTCAAACTGTTTGACACCGGAACTGACATCCATGCTCTTCGGCGGATGCAAAATGCAGTGTCACAGCCACTGCTGCTCTTATCAACTGTGGTGGGCGTCCCCTGTTGGGCGCATTGCGCACGCTTGGAGACCGATCAGATAGGCATTGTGGGCCAGGAGCTTCAGGTCTGAGGGACGAGCTTTCTTAGGGGCGCGATTATCATTACAGATGCGATATTCCCAGGAGTCGTCCGCCGTTGGGTAACAAAGGGCCGCTTGATAGTGTCCACTAGTAACCCTATCACCTATGTGAAATATAACCCATATAACCCGAAAGGTCTCCATGCGCAGTGTCGTGCCCGTGCAGTCAGCGAAGACTGGCAGCTGCACCACCGAACCTGGCTGCACATAGACTGGGAAGGTGTTTTTGTTACTGCCATCTGCTCCATATCTGCATATCTGCAGTAGCACCATGGTGGAGTATTGGCACAATGCTTGCACAGCATACGGATGCTTCCAGCCCCGAATAAGTTCCGATAGGCTCGCACCTGGAAAGTGCAGCAGAAGCGGATGATACAGATCACCTGAGTCCACGATTGTGTGCGGATTCTCTAACCTGGACTCCCACCTACCCATGTATGCCGTTGGAGCTGCGGTCTGTAACAGGTGATTGTAGAATTCACTGACATCATGCTGCACAGCTAAGCCCTGCCACTCGACAAAGACCCTACGCCACGTAAGAGAGTCAGGAAGATACATACTACCTGATGCACCCAGTGATGAGAGTCCCGCTCGGAGGGAGCCCGCACAGCTCCCTGTATCCACAGCGAGCATGCTGCTCCAGTAAAACGCCTGAGCACTCGAATTGGCATAGCAGATATTATGTGGATTGCGCAGGAGCCTGTTGGGCAAGCTGGGGTTCTGGCCCCCTGTTCGGCATGCCGACCTAGGCATGCCAGCCACCGACCGACCTAGGTCGATGGCTTCTCGCCCTCCGTTGCCGTCTGCGAGGTGGACTGCGGCTTCTGCCAATCGCGCCTTGGCCCCCAATTGCAGTAGCTGGTAGCACGATAAGCGTCCTCCACTTCCCGAGCTAGATTGCTGCGTTGCCCCCTCTCCAGCCGCAGTCTGGCTCCCAGCAACTTCATCGCCGAGTTCCCGGATAGGCGAACGAAGCATCGATGGCAGCGATGGGCTTCCTCGTGGCGAAGGCTCAGGGATACCTGAAAAGGCATCACCTCCGAGCGGTGGGACTCGCTCCACTGTCGGGTGGACTTGAATTGCGTTAACACGCCCGGCACCGTGATGTTCTGCTCGAGGGTGTCCAGCATGCCCAGGACCTCCGTCAGTGGAATGGGAGGCACTGTGGAGCGAAGCTCCTTCTTCTCGGATGGGCTCCACTCGTAAAAGTGGAAGACCGGATCCAGGGCATTGCGTCCTTCCGACAGCCACCCCACCTTCATGAGCCTCTCGAGGTTCGCCTCGTCCTTCTGCAGTTCTTCCACCTTTCGGCGCAGCAGCTGGCAAAGGCCCGACATCAAGACCACCTTCAACGACGTGGTGACCTGCTGGTTGGCATACTGTGTCTGCCACTTGTCCCCCGCCGCTCGAAGCTTGGCTAAGCAGCTGTAGTCTGCTGTGTCTATGAACAGCATAAACCCGGTGTCTTGTTTCAGCCGGGCCAGCTCCGCTTCGTGCCTGAGGCTCATCCGCGTCATGGCCCCGATGAGCTCCTTGGTGGCCTGGTCCAACTCCCCGACGCCCCCTTGAGCCTCCTCCGGCTCCGCATGCTTGCGCTTGGGGTTCTGGGTCCATGAAGACCAGCTTCCTTTGCCTCCATACTGTCCCTTCTGCGCCTTTGGCCACTTGGTTTGCTCCCCTGTCCCTGCCCTGTGCCAGCGGTCCTTCCAAGGATCCTCCTGCTCCGTGGGCTTCTCCTGCTGGGGCATGTCCTTGTCCTCGTCCTCCCCAAACACCGTTGCCGCATCCTTCCTGGCCACCGCTGCATAGTCCTCCGTCATTGGAGCAGGCCTGAGCATGTTTGAACTGCTGTACGAGGTAAAGATTGGCAAGGGAGGCCTGATAAACCGCTGAGCAACAGGCGAGGTGTCTGCGAGGTTGGCGATGGGATACCCCGCAAAAGCAACAAGGGCTTTGAGCTGGCAATCCAAGAGACGTGCAACGGTCAAGTGCAGGCTGATGCAGTTCAGCCAGGTGCTTGTGCATCAACCTGATATGCTGTTTGAAGCCTTGAGGTGCACACCACTGCCCGCAGAACACACAGTACGTACCTAAGTTCTTTTTGTATCTTGGATCCCTGAGCACAGTCTTCCAGCCTTTGCATGAGAGCACCTGAAACTCAGCATCATCTACTAGGCACCCTGGGGAGTCTGCCTGAGGGGCCCGGTCCGTGGACCCCATTCGCAGCCCCTCCTGCTGTGGAGCTACCTGGACTGCCACAGCAGTGGCAGACTCCCTGTGCATACTAGCCTTGGATCCAAACAGAACCGGACACGCACCTTTAAGATGTTTCTTAAAGCCTTCAACTCTGGTGAAAGTTTTATGGCAGTGCTTGCAGTGTGGCATGCCATCCACCGAATGTTGTACATGACTGGTGCCCATGCTCTTCACTGACCTTTCTGCTCTATAGCCGTGCTTGCGAGCCCGGTGCGACAGCATATGCCTGTGATTAGTGAGATACAGCCCACATTCAGGACATGGAACCCCCGGGAACAGATCTCGTGAAAGATGCACAGGCTCCGATGCATCAACATACTTCATGATCTCTTCCAGGCTCGCCTGCAGGCCGGCATACCATTCTGTGTCATTGGTAGCCATGGTTCCAGCTGTTTTGCGCTGCACTCTCCTCTGCACCGCCTCGACAGCCGAGTCTATGTGCAGGCGTCTTCGCAGCGCCGTGTTGCTTTCTCTGGAGAGATGCGCTGGCGACTTTGCTATGGCACGTAGAGATCTCATGTCCGAGGAATCAAGAGTTCTGGCGGAAGCGCCTGTTAACCCAACCACGTGCAACCCGTACAACAAAGCACTACGAACGCAGGCGTTGTAGAGGCGAACCCGCTCTTGGAGAGAAAGCATCTTGCCATGCAAAAATTTCAGCAGGCGATGACGATTCTGTGCCGCAGCCTGTTGCCGATGCTGCAAGGTCTGGAGCTCATAGCTCCCATACGATGCTACAACCCCCAAATAAACCATGCTATGAACCACAGGGATTTGAAGAGGACTATGTGGGGTTCCCACTTCTAAGGCCGGGCCAGTAGTCGTCTTCACCAAGTGCTTCCGCTGCCAGCGCTTACCAGCGCTTCCGCGCAACGCGATCACCAGTTTGGATTTGCTAGAGTTCACTTGCATCCCAAAAGATTGCAAAAGTCTAAAGGTTTGTTGAAGACACCGACAAACGAAGTTTAAATCAGCAACCGATTCAACCGACCAAAACATATGTTTGTCATCGGCGAACATGGTGACGCAGCTGTCTGCCCACTCTGGCGTCGTGCATTGCGCGAGCTGTCTCCAGAACAGCGCTGTAAAGAGACTGTAGAGCGTGGGAGCCAATGTGCAGCCTTGTCTTACTCCCATTTCCATAGGGAATTCGGCACTATGCACGTGATGCTTGACTGCATATTTGCACGCATTATGCAGAGAGACAATGGCATCCCTCAACGCCAAGGACACTCCAGCCATATCCAGTGCGGCGGCAAGGGCTTTTCTTGTGAGTGAATCAAAGGCTCTACTGAGGTCTATGGATATCATCACTCCCCCGTATACATAGCAAACCCCTGATTTAAGACCCTGCCGCCTCTGGTGCACCGAGCTTGCACCCTCTCGAAGCCGCTGTCTGACATCCCTGCAATGTCGGGCAACCCTCATTATGGCTTGATCTATACTTTTCCCAGGAATGTAAGCGTATTGGGGGACACCTTCCAGGACTGGTTGTATAGTTTCCATAAGTCGGGCTCTGACGGCAAGGGCATACACCTTCGAACTCGGATCTTGTAACCCTAGGGGGCGGAGGTCACAGGGTCTACGACTATCCTTACCAGGCTTTGGCAACAGCGATAGCTCACAGTGGGAGATCTCACTCGGCACTGCGAGCCCGTGATTGGCACGAGCTGAAAGCATGCCCGAGAGTGCATCGGCATACTCATCCGGACAGGTTTGCCAAACCTCTGCTGGCACACTGGCCGTGGGTACAGCCTTCCCTCGTTTGAGCTGTGACAGGGCGTCAGTAACTTCCTCCCTAGACAACACAAGACAGTTGGGCGTGGTGCCTATGCATGCACTCCCTGACTTGAAAGCTTTGCTGAAATAGTCAAAGATCTCCGCAAACTCCTGCTGTTTTGTGAGGAGTCCTCCGTCTCGGCTACGGATACGCACCTGTTCTCTGCGCTTCTTCGGGGCGACCTTGTTAATGATTCTATAGAGCTCAGCATAGTCTTTCTTTTGCGCAGCCTGTTCCGCAAGCACGATTTTATCCAACAACCATTGCTTCCTAGCTTGTCTGCTATGTTGTTTCATTTCTCGACTAGCCTTTTGGAAGTGCAGCTGTCTAGACACGGCCACGGATGCACGCTGAAATTGCCCAGTCGGCAACGGGGCGCGGAGCTGTTCATATGCCAGCCACATGCTGTTAATGGCTTGCTGAACTTGCGGCATGTCTCTGGGTTTGTCCGATGCTACCTGCTTGGCCGGGAAGAGCTCCACGCACTTGCGCAGCACGACACGATTGAGCTCTCTGAAGCACAGTCTGTCCCTAGACTCTGCTATGGCCCCTTGCACAAAAGAGCGAAGAACCTGTGCCCTGTCAGTGTTAGCTGCTAAGTGTTCCCTGAGGTCTTGTTTAGAGTAGGCCTGTGATTTCTGTTTCTTTTTAGCACAACTCCATCCAGCGACCCACTTGAAAGAACCACTCACAGGTCTATGCTTAGGTCCTTTACGCCAGGGTACCAAATCAAGCAAAACAGGTGCTGATTTCTTGGCCTCAGCATCCACGGTGAGCCGTCGTGTGGCTAGAAAGTCCAGCTGACTCATTGTTGCACCATTACGGAACGTATGCGCCTTACTGGGCCTGGAACTTGTCCACGTGTTGGCCAGGACCAGATTGTGTGTTTGCAAGATTGCCTCCAGCTCAGTCTCGTTTCCCTGGCTGCTCTTCATGAGGCCTCGTCCTACCAATCCAGCCACCGGTCGCAGTTTGCTATTGAAGTCAGCCCCCAAGAGGAGCGTATTCCGGACCGGCAGTGAGTGCAGCAAACCGCCCAGCTTGCTCCAGAAATGAGACCTGTTCTTCTGCACCGTCTCTGCCTGTTTGTCTTGCCAGACCCATTGATAGCAGTTCACAATATCCAGCCGGGTTCGTGCGCCTTCACAGCGTACGTGCAGTATCCTGCCTGGCAGGCAGACATTGTGGCTGATCTGGGACTCCTCTGCAATTCTTGAAGACACAAAAGTGGCAACACCCGCGTAGCGACTTTTGGAGTCCGGGCTTACTATCGCCGTGCAGGTGCCGATGCGCCACTTCCCTTCGGTTTTTCCCAGCCCCCAGTGGGTTTCCTGAACCATCACCAGATCGAAATCTTGTTGTGTTGTAAGCCATCTGCAAAAGACGTCGTATGTCTCGCTGGAGAAGCCACCTATATTGTACGTGGCAGCGCGCAGTCTGGGCGCGGGCTTAACACGCCTTGTAGGTAAGGGGATTCTCGCCGGCAGATGGGTACAGCCCCGATAGATCGTCTGCAGTTCTTGAGCCGATCGCCAGACTCCTCTATATATGGTTCCACCAGCGATTTCAGCTCTGCGTCTTGCTCGCCGATACGCTCTTTTGCGCGCGTTGCTAAAGGAAGCGGCCTGTACGTGCCCCGTTCCAGTTGGTTTCACCCTCGGAGAGGTGTCAGGACCGTCTGTGGATTTCGGCCTAACCCTCGGGTTTCCCTCCAATGATCGTCCTGTAGCTGATATATCCAAGCCAGGAGGGGATGGGAATTGGGACCCATCCAGCTGAAGCTGTGTATTCATCTCAGATCGGAAGATGCAGAAAAATACCAGA